GCTGCTGCTGCAGCTTCTGCTGCTGCAACTTGTTCTGCTGCTGCTGCAGCTTCTGCTGCTGCTGCTGCTGTTGCTGCTGCTTCTGCTGTTGCTACCCAACACAAAATGACAATCCTGCTGCTTGCCGTCTCCTCCCTACCCCTTTCACATAAACCCTAAACCCTAAACCCTAAACCCTAAACCCTCAATTTGTAATTAAAGGGTTTCCCTCTCCGTCGAGTCAAAACGTCGCATCGTCAGGCGAGGAAGAGAGACAGAGAAGAATTTCTATTTGTCACTGCTGCCACTGCTGCTGCTGCTGCTGCTGCAGCTGCTGCTGCTGCTGCTGCTGCTTTTCAAAAGCATCACTAGAAGCAGCAGCAGCAGCAGGAGCAGCAGCAGCAGCAGCAGCAGGGGACGAGAGTGTCGGTGTTGGGGTGTATGTACAGCTCTAGGGTTGCGCCTGTCTCTTTAGGTGTTTAAAAACCTGATCCTTAATCCATGCTTTGTTGTGGGGTGTATACGCATTCATCTCGCTGTCGTGTCTGTACACCCCAAATATACACACAAATACAAGCAGATAAAGATATAACAGCAGCAGCAGCANCTGTCGTGTCTGTACACCCCAAATATACACACAAATACAAGCAGATAAAGATATAACAGCAGCAGCAGCAACAGCAGCAGCAGCAGCAGCAGCAGCAGCAGCAGCAGCAACAGCAGCAGCAGTTACGCGCACTACGCGCTCAAGGAGAGATCGAAGGATCTCTCCTTCAGCGCGTAGTGCGCGTAACTGCATGCAATACACCTGCATGCATGCATGCATGCATGCATGCATGCATGCATGCATTTCTAAACTTACACGAGCGCACATAGATCTCTAACGAAGTCAACATAGTTGAAAAGATCAGTAACATCATAAGTGCCGTGTACTGCATGCAACACACCTGCATGCATGCAACAAACCTGCATGCATGCATGCATGCATGCATGCAATACACCTGCATGCATTTCTAGACTTACACGAGCGCACATAGATCTCTAACGGAGTCAACACAGTTGAAGAGATCAGTAACATCATAAGTAATGTGTACTGCATGCATGCATGCATGCAATTCTACTGCATGCATGCATGCATGCATGCATGCATTTCTAAACTTACACAAGCGCACATAGATCTCTAACCGAGTCAACATAGTTGAATAGATCAGTAACATCATAAGTGCTGTGTACCGCATGCATGCATGCAACACACCTGCATGCATGCATGCATGCATGCATGCATGCATGCATTTCTAGACTTACACGAGCGCACAAAGATCTCTGACCGAGTCAACATAGTTGAATAGATCAGTAACATCATAAGTAATATGTACCGCATGCATGCATGCAACACACCTGCATGCATGCATGCATGCATGCATGCATGCATGCATGCATTTCTAAACTTACACGAGCGCACAAAGATCTCTGACCGAGTCAACATAGTTGAATAGATCGGTGACATCATAAGTAATATGTACTGCATGCAATACACCTGCATGCATGCATGCATGCATGCATGCATGCATGCATTTCTCTATAAACTTACACGAGCGCGCATAGATCTCTGACGGAGTCAACATAGTTGAATAGATCAGTGACATCATAAATGCTGTGTACTGCATGCATGCATGCAAGTCTACTGCATGCATGCATGCATGCATGCATGCATGCATTTCTCTATAAACTTACACAAGCGCACAAAGATCTCTGACGGAGTCAACATAGTTGAATAGATCAGTGACATCATAAGTAATATGTACCGCATGCATGCATGCATGCAAGTCTACTGCATGCATGCATGCATGCATGCATGCATGCATGCATTTCTCTATATAAACTTACACGAGCGCGCATAGATCTCTAACCGAGTCAACATAGTTGAACAGATCAGTAACATCATAAGTAATATGTCTGAGTTGAGGGTTAGAGGCCTTGAGGCCCTGTTCGTACAGCTGGCAGACCCCATCCATTGCTGCTGCTATAGATTCATATTCTAAGTATGTTCGGCTCTCACGGCGATCACTAAACTGAACCAACAAGATTGTGTGGCCCTGAATACATATACATATATATATATTTATATTATATATATTTATATTATATATATTTATATTATATATATGTTTTTTTGTTTTTTTTGTTTTTTTGTTTTTTTGTTTTATGTGGTTATGTATTTATTTATTTATTTGTTTATTTATTTATTTATTTGTTTATTTATTTATTTATGTGGATCGGTCAGAAAGAGGGGGTAGGGTTTAGGGTTTAGGGTTTAGGGTTTAGGGTTTAGAGGGGGAGAGGGGAGTGGTTGGGGGTCGAGGGGTGTTAGTGGATGCATGCAGTATAAATATATATATGCAACACAACTATATAATTATAAATATATGCAGATATATATATATATATATATTTATATATATTTATATATTTATATATTTATATTTATATAAATTTATATTATATACTGTAGTGGTGTTAGTTGTTTGTTTAGATTGACATATATAGAACGAGAAAGAAAAAAAAAAAAAAGAGAAAAAAATAAAAAAATAAAAAGCAAAGCCCCGTGAGCTGTCAATACACCTCAGAACACAATATAAATAAAAACTGCAACACGGGATTGCTGCAGCAACAGCAGCAGCACGAACAGCAGCAGCAGCAGCACAATGAGCAACAGCAGCAGCAGCGACAGCAGCAGCAGCAGGAGCAGCAACAGCAGCAAAGGAGAAGGCTGTCTCACCATTGCGTCTGGTGGCTTCGGTGGTGTTTATGAGTTAAGTTCAATAAACCTGCAACCGGGTGCTGCTTCTGCTGCTGCTGCTGCTGCTGCTGCTGCTGCTGTTGGTGTTGTTGCTAGTACTGCTGTTGCTGCTGTTGCTGCTGCTGCTGTTGCTGCTGCTACAGGGACCGTGGCTCCCCAGCTGTGAGTTGTAAGGGCCCTTAACAGCAGCTGATAGACCCCTTGCTGCTGCTGCTGCTGCTGCTGCTGCCGGTGCTGCTGCTGCTGCTACAGGCCCTGCTGCCCTTGCTGCTGCTGCTGCTGCTGCTGCTGCTGCTGGGGTAAAAG